ATTAAAGGAAACTTTCTAAGCGCTAGACGATATAATTCACAAGATAACACCGTCTGGCCTCAGGCAGCGACATTAGAGCGGCCAGATCCACTCGTAATTATACAGCCTCGTGTCTCGCTCCACGTGGATACCTATTGACCTATTTGAACTTTCTTGAGCTGTCATGCTTGCTCGCTGTCTGTCTCTGTCATCATTAACTTCTTTTCTTTCTCTCGACTCTTTTTTGAAGTTTCTTAGGCATGAATATATTTGCATTCTATGAAGAGAGAGAGAGAGAGAGAGAGAGAGAGAGAGAGAGAGAGAGAGAGAGAGAGAGAGAGAGAGAGAGAGAGAGAGAGAGAGAGAGAGAGAAAGAGAGAGAGAATGTGAGTGTTATATGTGTCTGTGTGTGTGTGTACTCATAAATAAACGTGAAGTCAGGTCGTAGTATTCCTGAGCGTTGAGGTAACACGATACTAGAATTGGCCTCCGCCTTGATCCCCGGCTCTCAATTCTTTAACTTTCCACGGTTCCCTCTCTACACCTCGCGTCTCCACGGTCCCCTCTTCACAAAGTCCTGTTTCCCATTCAATAAATTACACACAGCATACCACCTATTCCCTACTGCAGGTAGGGGAGAGAGAGAGGACCGCAGAACTATTCAAGGCCTTCGTCAAGAGGGCGCCATGCAGTACTTCCGAAGTAAACACACGCACACACAGTACAATAGCAAATATTTCCGCCTGACAAGTCAAGACGGTCTTAAAATTGTTTGGCGGGCATCTGAAAACGTCATTGCATCGTCAGACGTGTGGGAGCGGGACGTCATTGCATCGTCAGACGTGTGGGAGCGGGGCGCGTCTCAGGCAGCCCATACCTCGGATCTCCCTTACTTGTCACTGATATTCAACACACCAAACTTATTATGGGATATATTAAACTCGAATGGAACGAGTTTAACAACCCTGATCGCTTTGACGAATTGTGGAGGATAGAGGGAGAAGATAAGAACATAGAGGAAGGGAAGGAATAGGGGAAGGGAAGGAATAGAGGAGGGAGAGGGACATGAGGGAAGGCTTACACCCACTTGCCCTACTCTCACACCCACCTGCCCTACTCTCACACCCACCTGCCCCTACTCTCTCACCCACCTGCCCCTACTCTCACACCCACCTGCCCCTACTCTCTCACCCACCTGCCCCTACTCTCTCACCCCCCTGCCCTACTCTCACACCCACCTGCCCTACTCTCTCACCCACCTGCCCCTACTCTCTCACCCACCTGCCCTACTCTCACACCCACCTGCCCTACTCTCACACCCACCTGCCCTACTCTCACACCCACCTGCCCTACTCTCACACCCACCTGCCCTACTCTCACACCCACCTGCCCTACTCTCACGCCCACCTGCCCTACTCTCACACACACCTGCCCTACTCTCACACACACCTGCCCTACTCTCTCACCCACCTGCCCTACTCTCTCACCCACCTGCCCTACTCTCACACCCACCTGCCCTACTCTCACGCCCACCTGCCCCTACTCTCTCACCCACCTGCCCTACTCTCACACCCACCTGCCCCTACTCTCACACCCACCTGCCCTACTCTCACACCCACCTGCCCTACTCTCACACCCACCTGCCCTACTCTCTCACACACCCACAATATATAAACATTCAAAAAGATACTGATACTCAGCCCACATATTACATTCACTAGTGATGCCTCAATGCACACGGAAGATATATATATCTACTCTGGCTCATGCCCTGGAGAGTCATGTATCTGGGTCATGCCCTGGGCGCTGGGGCAGAGGGCGGTGAGAGGAACGGGATACCATGATGTGTGAGGTCATTGAACACTACCACACACTCTACACACAAACACATACATGTAAAAACAACAGTGTTAGCTATACAAGTGGCACTTGTCGATCACTGTGGGTGATGACTACCTAGTGGTTATGTCAACACTACCTCGCCCACACACACACACACACGCGCGTGCGCGCGCAGGTTAAGTGACCAAACTAGATGACTACCCACAGACGGAAGCTCCAGGAGGATATTATAACACTTTGGAAGGTTAGACAGGCGGGTCACTACACCTCTTCAACAGGCTCACTACTGGCACTTAACCTGACCCCAGTGAGGTCAAGTGGCGGGGGCTCGGAGGTTAAAAGTTCACAAGACAAGCAGGGTGGTGGTGTGCCTCTGGGGGCTAGCGTCTTGGCACTCTACCGTCACTCACCCTCCGGGCTCACAAACAATCCCAGGTCCTCCACAATTCTCCCCTTGACCTCGCCTCCTCCCTCGATGATGGGTGTGGGTGGGTCGTCGCCGGAGGCAGGTGGGACGCCCAGCGTAGTTTTCAACGTCTTCTCCCCATCTTTTTCTTCTTCCTCGTCGTCTGTGTCACCGTAATGAAGATCCTTTTCTTTCTTACGATCCTTGACGCGCTGCAGGAACTCCTCAACCACAAGCTCCCGCTGTGTGGGCGGCGTTGCCTCCCTCTGAATTTCTCGTTTCGGGCGACTTAATCTAATAATTTTCTTCCCTTTTCGGTCCACTCGCGTTTCTATTGCCTCCCAGTACTCCTTCATGAGCTGCTGTCGAACCTTATCCTCCTGCCTGAGAGGCGGCTCACTCACAATGCGTCTGGGCTCCCCACAGGGAATTGGTCTGAAATAACTGAGAAACCTCTCCTCAGCCTCCAGCATTTCTCTGGTAGGAGGGGTGCGGAGTTTACCCTCCTGCTCCTTTTCCCTTTCTTCGTCAGTCTTATGTTTGGCCTTGGGCGTGCCTTGAAAGTACATCATGTAACGTTTCTCCGCTTCTATCTGATGTTGGTCGGGTTTCTTATCGACGTCTATATCACTGCGGGGTCTGGGACGAGGGGGCCCTGGGTTGAAATAGCTCAGATATCGTCGCTCAGCCTCCAGTTGCTCAGCGTCGGGTTCAGGAGAGGGTTCGGTCATGGAGGAGGGCCTGGGACGTGGGCGTGGCGGACCAGGTCTGAAGTACGCCAGGTACCTGCGTTCTGCTTCCAGCTGCTCAGCGTCGGGCTCTGGAGGGCGGTCATCTCTTGCGTGTGTCGGACGGGGCGGGGCGGGGTTAAAATATTTTAAATAACGTCGTTCTGCTTCCAGTTGCTCGGCGTCGGGCTCCGGTTTCTTTTCGGTCTGTGAGGGAGGGCGAGCGCGTGGAGGTCCGGCGTTGAAGTACGATAAATAGCGGCGCTCTGCTTCCAGCTGCTGGGCGTCAGGTTCAGTAGGAGCCGGAGACTGGGTGGGTCGAGGTCTTGGGGGTCCTGGATGAAAGTAAGACTCGTAGCGTCTCAGAGCTGCCAGCTGGGCTTCGTCTGGCTGGGGGGACCTACTAGGGTCCTCTGTAGTAGGTGTCGAGGCTCGGGGAGGTCCCAGGAAGTAATTGTTATATCGACGTTGTGCCTCCAGTTGCTGTAAGGTAGGCTCTGAAGGCTCACTGGAGCAGCTGCGCCCCTGGCGGCGCTTGTAGGGCGGACCCTCGAAGTAGGAAAGGTAGCGGCGCTCAGCATACACTAATTCGGGGTCACGTTCGTCAGTGGGTGTGCGTGGGCGTGGGGGCGGTGGAGGAGATTTCAGCTTTTTCTTGAGCTCCGCTGAAGGGTATTTTGCAGATTTAACGATATCTTCCCTGCTTATGTTTTCATCTGAATCCTGTGGAGGGAGTTCAGCACTGGTAGGGCTGCCGTTCACTTCACCGGAGCCGTTCACGTGTGGAGAGGGCTTGAGTTCCATGCTGGATGGCAGTTGACTTAAGAGCTTATTTGTGCGGTCAAGACGGGCGAAAAATAACCACTCAGCTAGACCTTGAGCTTGAAGTCGCTGTGACCCATAAGCCTCGACGAGGCTGATTGGGCGGGACCTGGGTGGCAGATGGCTGGCAGATGCCGTCTCTTCCCTCCTGCTGGGGCTTCTGATCCGACCACCTGGTAACCTCAGCTGATTAAGGTGGTCGAAAGGAGCTGTGATCAGGTGGTGAGGGAAGGCGGCCGGCGTGTACTGAGTGCACCAGGTGAGCGGCCGCCGGGGGCGCTCAGTGCGGTACGACAGTTCTACGTCTGTCTTGGAGCCAGACTGGGCATAAGACGGCTGGCACGGGCACGGCGACTCTGCCGCGGCTACGCCACGATCAACACTGGCAGTTGCCGGCGCCAGCTGGCATCTGGAGGTCGTTGGTGAGGGAGGGGGAGGTAGGGGAGGTGGCGACTGTTCTTGGCTCATTGGGACGTCACAGTTATCTTGCACCGGTGCGCTATGGGTTACTGCATCGCACAGCTGACGATCGGGGAACACATCGATTGGGGGACTTGCTAGTATCTTTTCAGTATAATTCAATTTACATTGACGATAAACGTCACACACATGTACTGTAGAGGAGAATTCTTTACTAAGTCTACAGCCGCTACTTAGAACACCAGCTACATCTCTATCAACGTCTGCAATGCTGGGAATGTTAGCGCCAAGCGACAGTTGCTCATCAACAGCTGACTGAGGGGAAAGAGGGGGAGGAAGAGGAGGGGAAGGAGGAGAGGGGAGCGCTACAGGAACTGGAGTCGCCTGTGGGGTTAGTTGCACACTGCCCTTACCCTGTCCTGGCGTGCCCTGGTGCAACCCTGCCTTCGTTGCCTCCTGCTGGCTCAAGGGTGTCCTTCCACCGAGTGTTTGCTGCCTCTCTTGCTCCATCTTCATCACGAGTTCGGTGTCAGTAGCGTAGCCTCGATCTTCTGGCGTCGGAGTCGAGGGTTTCACTTTCGCTGGCACTTTATGTCGTCCGTTGAAGCGTCGTGCCCCTGGGTCGCTCTGGTACCCCTCTTCCAGTGCCTGACCTTCGCCTGACAAGCGACGAAGTGCTGGGCGTGGGACAGGAGGCTTTCCTCTGGGAATTTTAGCAACTGGAGCAAAGAACGGATACACGTTGGCTCTGACCTTAGCTGTAGTTATGTTCTCTGCTGAGTTTAGATCAACGGATGCAATACCTTTAACATGCTTAGCAGGGATCTCCAGATGGGTGGTCGGTGCCTGGAGCTTGTCGAGTGGAGAGGAGATGGATGGGTCGGCTAGGTGTCGTGGTTGCTGCCTCGCGTCTATCCCACCCACCGCCCTGGCACTGGGCGCCACCACCTCCTCGGGGATAGTTGCCAGATCATCTGTGGATACTGAACATGACTGCCGCCTATCTAACCTTCCGTTCATCTTAAATTTAGAACATTTATTCTCAGGAGCATGAATTGGAGATTGCATTACAGGGTTAGGGAAAGTGAGAGGCTGGCTGATGGGTTGAGCATGAGAGCCTGCAGGCTCAATAGGGTAGTACGAAGCGCCTGACTGAGCTGATGTGATATTAAATAGGGTCTTGTTAGACTCCAAAGGGTTATTAGTAGCACTAGCAGGTAACCTACCGTTATTCCACGAGAAGTCAGTGTCCCGGCGTGGGGGCGGGTCGGCGACCTTCTTCAACCTGGGGCCGGATTCTTCCACCTCAGATAACACAGTCTTCAACTCGTTCACGACCTTCAGGGGCATCTTCTCTTGAAACTGCCTTGGCGGCACTTCAGGTTTCTCCTTCTGTCTTCGCTCTTGCATCAAATTCTGCTGCTGCAGTTCTAGTATCATCGCTTGCTGTTGCCTATGCAGCTCCTGCATCTGGGGATCTCTCGGTGTGGACAGCGGAAGGTTGCTGTCTCTGCTCGGCCCGAACAACCACTTGCTAGCGTCGTATGTGTTTGTCGCGTTTTCTTCCATTTCGGATTCGGTTTCCAAGTCTGTTTCATATTCGGTGTCAGTCTGGGAGGAGGCCTCGGACATGAGGACATACCTGGTGTCATCAGTCTGTATGGCTATAGTGCTGCTTGTGGCTCTCTCCTTCACAGCCACGGGCCGAGGGGCGGTGGCAGGCTCAGTCTGGGTCACTGTTTCTTTAGTTTGTTTACTATTTAATTCACCTTGTTTGGGCGAGAGTGTTTTGGAAAGCTTAGTTTTTGATACCTCGCCTCCAGGCATTGTGGTCGAGGACTGTAACACCTCACACCCTGTGGCCGAGTCCCCACTGGCTGTCTCTGTAGGCAACGTCGATTTAATGTATGATTTGCAAGTATTTTGCGCAGTACTGATTTTGGGAGCTGATGTTGTATAACTGTCGACTGGCTTGCTTTCCTCCCGTGGGAGGCTTTTATCCATGTCTTGTGTAAACCTGAACATCTCAACAGTCAGTGCTGCTAGTGCATCAATATCCACCACTTCACTCTTCTCAATGTCAGGGCTCTTGTAAGCTTCCTGCGGAAGACCAAAATGGTTACTCTTATTCTCATCCTTCGAGAGCTGAGAAACTATAACTGTTTCTATTTTCGTTGTCTCCTCTTCAATTTCTACTGCAATGCTAGTCACGACAGGAGGTGCCGAAGCAGTACTAGTCACGGTAGGAAGTTCTGAAGCAGTGCTAATCAAAATAGGAGGTTCCGAAGCAGCGCTAGTCAAAATAGGAGGTTCCGAAGCAGCGCTAGTCAAAATAGGAGGTTCCGAAGCAGTGCTAGTCACAGTAGAAGGCTCTGAAGCATCGTCCTGAAGCAGTTTGTTTTCCAGCTCCAACATCTCCTCGAATGGATTGACATTGTCGTAAAGAGAAGGTAATTTTTCCTCCTCATCGTACGGAGTGGTTGGTGCAGAGCCTCCATAACTACTGAAGGAGACTGTAGGTTCGCTGGGCGTGGGGATGGACATCTGGTCTTCCTGGAGGCATTCGGGGATCACAGGAAGGGGCAAAGTCCTTGCCGGATATATCAGCAACGTGGCATCCTCTGGCGCAGGGGCCACAGATATAGAAGCTACGGTAGTCACAACTAATGGCGACACCAGAACCTCCACGTCAACAACAGAGGTAGAAACGCTGGTTGTTGGAAAGTCTGCAGGTGTTGAAGTTGGAGGTACGGACTCTACTGCAGACAGCGGTGTGTCCACAATCAGGGACTCTTCAAAAGTATCAAAAGTGGAATCATTAGTTTGTGGCGGTGCAGCACTGGTGACAGGAGTAGACAATGTTGCAGCGGCACTGGGGCCTTGTGTCATAATAGTGGTGCAGGCAACATATGGTAATTGTTGAGATGATTTGGTATATGAAATAATTCCTTTGGTAACCGTACTGTCAACAAATTCTTGTTTTGCCACCGAGGTTATGTCCTCGTAGCTGGCTTTTTCAACAACTTCTACACACTTGGGTGTAGTTTTTGGCAAATCCATAAGTTCTTCATAGTGAGGAAGGGGCGGTGGAGATTCCTCTTTGGCTGCTGTATTTATTACTAAAAATTCAGTGTTAGATTCTCCGCCTTTTTGTGATCCACACGAAGCGACGGGCGACGTCACGCCAACAGAAAGGTCTCCAGCGCTCAGCTCCTCAACAGGGGCAGGGATAAACCTCTTCTTCTTCCTTGGAGGTCTAACCCGCTCAGGAAGCCTGGGAAGTAAAGTCTCAGCTCGGCTGTTGATGTCCTCCACCATGGCCGGCAGCGTGAAAGACACATCACTCTCAATCTCCTCAGTTGTCTCTTCAAACTCTTTCAGAATAATAGTTTCTTGTAGCTGTGCTTCACATGTTATCATCTGAGGACCAGAAAACTTGTGATTTGCCACTTTGTCCACTACCATTGGTGTCACGAATTCAGTTTTTGTGTCTTTACCTGAAGATTCTTCCAACCCTTTCCTTTGCCCATCCGGATCAAGATCAAACCGAACTTCCTTTTTGAGTTCTTGTGAAGAATTTAAGGATCTGTTACTTCCTTTTAGGCTCGATTGACTTTCTGTAAATGAACTTTTCTTTTGAGAGGTAGAGTTGCTGTAGCCAGTTTCCTTTTTGCTTCCGTCTGGGTCTTCACTCTCGCTTTCTGACGTGGTCATCAGATCCGACTTACGATTCTTTCGCTCCTTGTACTTTTTACGGAGGTACTTTGGTGAGCCTTTCTTCAGGAGGTCGGCGATGTTGAAACTTTTCTTACCATCATCTTTAGTGACATCTGGAGTCTGCGGTCTGCTGGATTTGGAATCTGTTGTGTCTGGTATTAATGATTGAGGAGTTACTGGGCTGATGGACTGTAATGTTTCTGAACGACCTGAATCCTCAGGTGAATCAGTTAAGGTTTTGGTATCATCTTTTGGAGTAATGGTCTTTTCACAGTTTCCGGTATCTATTACTCTTCCTGCTCTGCGTACTGTTATAATATTCACAATTCTCTCTTTCACTTTTTCAAATTTTCCTGCAGTTAAGGAAGAGCGAGGAGATTCTGTTGGGACCTCGTGTATGGGCTTCGCTGAAGGTTCCATCTGCTCCACTTGTGTCTCTTCCTGTGGTTGAGCTGAATCCTCGACTTCCTGTGGCAAACCCTCAACATCTTCACCGATATCCACCAATAACTGACGCAAGAAAGCCTCTTCAATGTCATCAGAAAAAGGGGTGTTTTCTAGGGCGTCTAAGAAGTCGTTTAAATCCCCTTCTTGATAGCTCCGCCGAAGTCTCTCGAGCTCCTTCAGTATACGCTCTTCATTGTATGACTCCCGCGATATATAAGGTTGTAATTCCTTAGGTCTGGACCAGAACCGTCGCTTCACCTCTTGCTTAGGTGAATGACTCCCTGCTGCAGGGGGCAGTGGGGGTTTGATTTCTGATCTGGTCTCAGACTCCATTTTTGCCCCTTTTGCAGTTGAATCCCCATTAATAACCAAACTTATTGGAGAAGTTGAGGCTTCTGTTGTTTGAAGGTGTACCTCCTTGTCAGGCTTCATCGCTGAAATTTCCTTAGTTATCCCTTCGGATATCTCAGGAAGGTTAGGTAATACTTTCCGCTTTGATTGGGGACTCAACTTTTCATTAGGATTAACTTTGATAAGACTAGCACAGTAAGGGTGGATAGTTGGCGTGTCGGTGGCGGTGACGAGCGTTGGTCGATCATCCTCAGTGGAGAACTGGCGCTTCTGAAGCAATGTTTGCGCTGCTTGTTCAATGCTTTCAAGTTCATCAATTGCATCCTTGATGCTCGTCTGTCGTTTGTGATCAGGTTGTGCCGTTCCCTTAGATGTGGCTTTTGGGTCAATTACAGACTGACTTATGTGAGGACTTTTCTTCTCGTCGTGTGCTTCGTCGAGGCTGGAGAGCCGCGAGTTGACAGACGAGAGCTCCGACATGTCCTTGGCAAGAGTGTCATCTGAGTCTGCAGTGCCAGTGGATGCCACCGTAGCTGTGGAGGCCATCGACATCCTCCACTCTTCTGAAGACCGAGGCGACGACGCTAAAGAACCCGACACTTCGCCCCCTGAGGGCCCACCTCCAGAGGCACTGGAGTAGTACTGTCCCATTGCCGTCGCCTCCAGCTTCCCTGGTGGCACCAACACAACTGTCTCCTCTTCCTCGCCTTCCTCGGGGATTGTGGAGTACCGTGCTCCCTCCTTGGCTGTCTCATACAACCACAAGGGAACCTCTTCTATTTCCTCCTCTTCCTCCTCTTGATTACTCAACAAGTGCTCGGCTCGTAAATCGGGATATTGTACTTCCACTTGTTTTAACTCTTCTTCAAAATTTAGGAAGAATGAGTCGCCGTTCTCGTCGAAGAAACTCGAATCCTCCAACGTCGGGGTCCGTGTGAGTCTCTCGTCGTCACTATTATCGTTCGGGTACTCTATGAGTGCACCTGTGATCAGGTCTTTCTCGCGGTAAGTCTCCTTTAGGGCTGAGTATTCTACGAAGACGCCGAATGTTTGGTCAAGTTCTCTGTACGTCCCGTAGGTCCCTGTGTGGTCTTCAAGACCACCGGAAGTACGGCCCTGTTCGTTGTATGTTACACGTGTTTCCGGATACTCGATAAACGCACCCGTTGCCCGGTCGTATTCCACGAATGCCTCCTCTGATTGGTCGGTACGACTTGTCTGGAAATGGGAGTCGTCGGCGACCAGGGTGTCGGTTGAGGTGTCTGTGTGGGAACCCTGGTCTGTGGAGCTGCCCTCGTCACTTTCGTTTGAGCCCCGCGAAGTTGTACCGAAGTCGAGATCTGAGGTTCCTGATATGTTGGATAAGTTGAGGGAGGAATCACTGGGATCTAGCGAGAAGTCTTGAGTGGCATCGGTCCCGCTGTCGGTGGAGTCCTCTTCTTGGTCGCTTCTCAGGAGATCAGGGTCGGCTCCATAAGTCTCAAGGATGATGACTGTTGCATTTGAGGAGTCCTCTGAAGTTAGAGAGCACGAACGATCAGCATCAATATGATCTACTGCAGAATTATTGATTTAAATGATTAGTCTCGGATAACCAAATTCTGAATGCAGCCTCAAACACTGTGGGTAGCAGGAGGTCTCTCTATCGTTCATGAGGAAGGAGATACACGCCGAAGCGACCACGGATTTCTTCAGAATTTGGTCTCGAATTTAATTTGGGATTCCAAGGCGTGTTATGGTGGTTATTAACCGTGCATTTCGGTGGTGTCAACGAGGGCAGCCAGCAGGGATAAGGGTGGTAGTCCAGGCAGGTCTTGCTACTATCAATTCTCGGAGATTAAAAGCACTCTTTGCACTCCTCGAGCGTCAAGTTACCCATGCACTCACATTCCTCCGACAAGTCTTTGACAAATTATTCCGCTGAAGACTCGCATATCACTGTTAGTCTCAAGCCATGCTGTGTTGTTAGCTCGCTATAGCCAAAGAATAACTTAAAGCATTACATTCCTCGATTTTTGGTTAGTTTTTTCTTGTAATATTACACTGTGGTTTGCACAGGTTAAGTTTGTATGTTAGTCATGTTATTTATATAAAGCTACGAGATGTACTCCGTTTCTGTTTGTGTGCGTGTGTGTACTCACTTAGTTGAGCTCTGGCTCTTTGATCCCACCTCTCAACTGTCAATCAACTGGTGTACAGATTCCTGAGCCTATTGGGCTCTATCATATCTACATTTGAGCCTGTGTATGGAGTCAGCCTCCATCACATCACTGCCTAATGTACTCCATCTGTTAACTACTCTGACACTGAAAAAGTTCTTTCTAACGTCCCTGTGGCTCATCTGGGTACTCAATTTCCACCACTGATGGATTGTGAGGTGAGTGTATCAATGATGGTGTGTGTGTGCACTCACCTAATTGTGCTTGCAGGGGTTGAGCTTTGTCTCTTTGGTCCCGCCTCTCAACTGTCAATCAACGTGTGTGTGTGTGTGTGTGTGTGTGTGTGTGTGTGTGTGTGTGTGTGTGTGTGTGTGTGTGTGTATGTGTGTGTGTGTGTGTGTGAGAGAGATGACCTAGCACCACCGTGGATGAAGCTTGCCATTAGAGTACAGTATATTAATTATTTTACATTATGACAGGAAAACGCGCTCGCTTCCCTTGGGCGTTACCTGGCACTTTCATTTCCGTAGCTGTTGGGCGTGGGAGCAGGTGTGGGGCGGGTGTGGGAGCAGGTGTGGGGTGGGTATGGGAGCAAATGTGGGAGTGTTGAAGGGTCGTCGTTTGTGTGAGGGGGGGGGGGAGCAAAACTAAAGAAACGAAGAGAGAGAGAGAGAGAGAGAGAGAGAGAGAGAGAGAGAGAGAGAGAGAGAGAGAGAGAGAGAGAGAGAGAGAGAGAGAGAGAGAGAGAGAGAGCGCCTCCCACTCTCCCTCCCTTCACCAAATGTCCCTCCACAACACCCGTACAACCTCCCTCCATTCCCTCCCTCTCCACCTGACACCGTAACACACTTCCCTCTCAGATATTTATATATGGGGGAGAGGGGAGAGGGAGGGAGGTGGGGGAGGCGTGCGTGAACCAACAGGTGGGTTGGTCACACCTGTTGCCTCTCCCTTCATCCTCCCCCCTCCCCGCATCTCCCCATCTCCCCATTTCCTCCTTTCACTACACAAACTCACTCTCCCTTGGTTTATTTATTCTATATACACTCTCCTACACTCTGGTTTACACACACTCACCCATTACTCACTTTCAACCCGTTCTCTTACCGTATATCAACGTACAAATCCCCAACGATCCAAAACTGACGTACTAAAATATCAAAGCGACTCGCAAAATTAATGTGATTTCCCGTTTTCTACTCGTGGGTCCTCGGTTAGGTTAGCTTCGGTCAATTTAGTACATTATTTATGTGACGTTGTGATGGCCAGAAGACGGGCTGCGCACTCACGTCTACACACACTCGAATTGTCTAGTTACACTCACACACACTTTGTACCCCTCTTCCGTCTACACACACACACACACACACACACACACACACACACACACACACACACACACACACACACACACAGAGTAGCATGATTTCACTTCCCTTCAAGTTTAACTAACATATCTATCGCTGAGTGTCGAGATTAACCTAAATACACCCAGATACAGAAACACTGTAGCTACACCCAGATAGACACAGAAATATTGAGGGGAGTTTTAAACACCCCTCAGTGAGGGGTGAGGTCTGAGTGGCGAGATGTCACTAGGGGAGTCCCGCAGGGCTCAGTCCTTGGGCCTATACTGTTCCTGATATATGTAAACAATCTCCCAGAGGCAATAGGCTCGTTCCTCACAATATTTGCTGATGACGGTAAAATTATGAGGATTAAGACAGAGGAAGACAGCAAGAGGTTATAAGATGACCTTGACAAACTGAAGAAATGGTCCAACAAATGATTACTAGTATTAACTCAAGAAAATGTAAAATAATGAAGCTAGGTGGAGGGAGCAGGCCAGACACAGGATACCAAATGGGAGACGAAGTCCTCCATGAAACAGGCAGAGAGAAGGATCTAGGAGTTAATATCACACCGAACCTGTCTCTTGAAACCCACATTAAAAATATATCATCAGTGGCGCTGCGAGGCTGGCTAACATCAGAACTGCATTCAGGAACTTGTGTAAGAAATAACTTAGAACCTTGTATACCCCTTGTATATACATAAGACGAAGTTGGAGTAGGTTCAATGATATGTCACTAGACTTGTCCAGAACCAAAAGGAATGAGCAACGAGGAAAGGCTGCGCGAATTGCACCTCACAATACTGATCACCACATACAAAATTCTCAGGAGAATTGACGAGTTTGCTAAAGACACTCGAGTACACTCCGCTCTCCCCCCCCCCTCTCACAAGTATTATCTCTGTCCCTTACCATCGCCTGTGGCCACACCTGTCCACTACCACCTGTCTATCTAGTCACACTCTCTCCCCTATGCAGCCTCACCTACACCTGCTCATGTGGCCAAATCTGCCCCCTACTCATATGACCAAACCTGCCCCCTACTCATATGACCAAACCTGCCTTCTGCTCATGTGGCCAAACCTGCCCCCTGCTCATGTGGCCAAACCTGCCCCCTACTCATATGACCAAACCTGCCCCCTACTCATATGACCAAACCTGCCCTCTGCTCATGTGGCCAAACCTGCCCTCTGCTCATGTGGCCAAACCTGCCCCTGTTCACGTGGCCAAACCTGCCCCCTGCTCATGTGACCAAACCTGCCCCCTGTTCACGTGGCCACACCTACCCCTGCTCATGTGACCACATCTTCCTATATTTGTCCACACCTACACCTGCTCATGTGGCCACACCTGTCACTCGACCACCTTCACCCTTAACCTGGCCACACACCTGCTTCATATGCGTAATATCGTCCTCTGACGTCATGGGACAAAAGGAAAACGTTGTTTGAGTGATGTCAACAGAAGATGTGACGTCATCTCCCTGAAGCGGAATGAGTGACGTCATCTTCCTCAAGGGGAATGAGTGACGTCATCTCCCTGAAGGAGAATGAGAGACATCATCTCCCTGAAGGTGAATGAGTGACGTCATCATCCGGCAGAGGAATGTGTGACGTCATTCTTTTCAAAGACGGTGGTGGGGGGGTGGTGTACGTGACGTCATAAGATTGCGTCACTTACGCATTTGCGTCACATTCCGTCTGTGAAGTGTGCGCCTCTCAAAAGAAAATAAAAAATATAAAAAACTCCGCAGGGAGGCAAGCCACTCTAAAGTCTTTTAAATGACATTTCTTTTTACCCTGGAAAGATCTCCACGCAAAAAAAAACGTTCTATCTCCCCTTGCCGTCTCCGTGAAAAAACGTTTAGTCTGGATGAATAACGAGAAAAAAACGTTGAGGCTGAATGAATAACGTAAAAAAACGTTGAGGCTGAATGTATATCGTAAAAAAAACGTTTAGGCTGAATGTATAACGTAAAAAAAAACGTTTAGGCTGAATATATAACGTAAAAAACGTTGAGGGTGAATGAATAACGTAAAAAAAACATTGAGGCTGGATGTATAACGTAAAAAAAACGTTTAGGCTGAATGTATAACGTAAAAAACGTTGAGGCTGAATGAATAACGTGAAAAAAATGTAGTGGGTGGATGTATAACGTGGATAAACATACTTATACTCGGAAATCAGCTAATTTTATACCGCAGGAAGATCAAAGAAGGTGTTGGGTGACGTCAAACTCAGTCGACGAGCCACTCACATCGTCGACTTTACTGGTTGTCATCCACCTCCAAATTGGGTCTGATTTCCCTTATACAATTAGCTGATATCGGAGTAAAATTATGTTTATCCACGTTACACATTCAGCCTCAACATTTTTTCACATTAATCATACAACCTCAAAGTTTTTCTAACTTGCGTAATTCTAAGTGGCTTTAGGGAAAGTCAGCGGTCCCCGCGGTATTCCGTATAAGCTCCACCAACCTAAATTCATCTGACTAAGTCTCCCAATTTAGCTGGCGATCTATTTCTAAGCTTCTCCCTTGTGTAAACTCCGTCCCGGCCTCACTTCTCCTGCTGTACTCCATATCCCCTTTACTGTATTCAGATCTCGTTTAGCTCCAATTTTAACAATTTTAGATCCAATTTAACGTGTATTCGGTCCCCATTTCAGTTCTCCCCTTCTCCTTTCCACCACAGATGGAAGGGAGTGATGTGGTGGAGGTAGACTCCATACACAGTTGAAAATGTAGATATGATAGAGCCCACTAGGCTCAAGTATCTGTACACCAGTTGATTGACAGTTGAGAGGCGGGACCAAAGAGCCAGAGCTCAACCCCCGCAAGCACAACTAGGTGAATATAGAGTCTACCATTTTCTTACCAACCAACGCCTCACTATAGTGAATAACACAGTACATCCCAACCATGATCCCCCCCCCCGTTCACTATCGTCACTATGCCCAGTCTCTCCCAGCACTATACCCTTCCCCCCATGACCCCCC